CCTAAAAACACATGCTATTCAAGTGGACCAAAGTATTTCTAAGATAACAATCCTTGAATTCTTTCTTCACTCAATGAAAATAGACATGTTAAGGAGTAGTTTTCAAAAGGAATGGCATCAATAAAATAAAAAATGAGAAAATTATGATCATGGGAAGTTGGTGCACCAAATGGGCAAAACTAGGTCAAGGCAAGGTAAGGCAACCTAAGGCCATTTGCATGAAGAAGTGGATCTCAGTAAAAACTTAACCAAATGAGGTAAAACAAAATTTCAAATTGTGTGTTTTTGAACAAGAAATTCAATGGTACAATTTGTTATCCCATACCATGAACCCACAAGAAAACCCGATAGCATCATTGGTAGAGCAAATTTGATTACAACCAAATGCAAGAACTCATGAACCACATTGTGTAGTGGTGTTCTTTGTGAAACAAGTGTACAAACATCACATATGGATCATATATAGAGGTTATCACAAGAGAAAACAAGAAATGCACAAGTGGTTTGGTAGATTGGAATCATCATGCAAAATGTGACAAGTTTGGACATAGTTTGTGACCTGAAATTTGACAGTCCCAAAAATACCTATTTTGCTGCAAGACATGGTTCATACATGACACATTACATGCACAATACATGTATAAACAATGTTCAAATCAAAATCATGGCTAGAACTTAAAGTGGCGTGATAAATGTAAGTTGTAGGCTTACCTCTTGTAGCCTTATGATGTAAGCTTGAGAAATAAGAAAGCCAGAGGTCCTACAAGCTCCTCAATGGTCTAAAAATGTTCCAAAGATGATTAGTAGATGCTCAAAGTAGCCTCTAAGCAAGCTAGTGGCCAAAATGCCTCGATAGTGAAGAAATCACCAAAAAATCCAAAGATTTCAAAAGAAATCTTGCTCAAATCTTGTTACAGAAGTGTGAATCAATTATAGATAGTTTGTATAGGTCATATGTGAGGTGTGAGTGGTCTTGGAACTCAAGGAAGTGTAGTGGTTTGATGAATGCTATCCAAAATGCAGAAAAGTCAACAAATGAGGTTTTGAAGGGTGAAATTTTGCTTGGATGGTTTTTTGGATAATGCGAGGTCTTGGACAGCTCTATCACATCACTTGTGATGTGTTTGAAGTGTTTTTTAAGTTGGAGAATGTTTGGAAATGGTTTTATAAGTGTTTTTGCAAAACAGATTTGGAAATGGTTTGAAACTTGGTGTAAACTTGCAAGAAATTGGTGATTGAGTGAGGGAAAGGGTTCTAGCTGGTTTCTAGCATGGAACTAGTGTCCTTTGTATGTAATAATGAGGCTCTATTTATAGTCAAAGGTCTTGAGGGAGAAGCATGGGCAAATTGCTTCAAAATGCCAATTTTGGCCTTTCAACTTGGAAATCTTTGGAGGAACCAATGCAAATCTCCATTTCTAACCTCAAGTCATCCTACCAAGAGCTTCTCCATACCCTATAGGTAATTTTCATCATGCTTGAGAGGATAGGAAGTGATTGTCTGCAACATAGTTGGTGGTTTGATGAGGGCAACCACCATTTTTCTCTTTCTTCACTATTCACATTTGCAACTTGCATTAAACAATGGTTTTCTTTAATTCTTGTTCCAAATTCGTGGGAGATGGTGCTAAACAATTACATTATCAATGTGAAGATCATAAATGAGGCTTAAACCTTGATTAGAATTGATTTAAGAAGCTTTAGAATCAAGACATCCATGCTGAACTGGCTTTGTAGCAATGAGTTTTTTTGCCAACTTGTGAGCTTTGGTTCTCCCTAACCATGAGGAGTTATGGAACCCACTTGTAATTTTTAAAATCCTTCATTAGGTAATACAACATTGATGTTTGAGATAGGAACCCATTCCACTTGAAACTAGGTCAAAACCTCTTGTGAAAAATGCTGAATTCTTGACTTACATATAAAGAAACCTTGAAATTTCTAAGTGTTTAAGATCCTTCACAACTTGATGAGCTCATAACTCCAAATCTATTCATTTTTTGCTCATGTGTCATTAGGACACTTTTCTAAGGCTCCTTAATAAACTTTCAACAAGCTTTGAACCATTCCAGTTCGATGTGTGGTTATGAAGTTATTACCATTTGAAGTTTGATCAAGATTAGGGTTTTTTCACTTACCCTTGTTTCTTGATTTGCAAGTTATCCATTAATTATTGATTTAATCTCCACCAAACTTCATAATAATATGTGGAATGATGTTGGAAACAATTTTGGCTTCAACTTTGGGTAAAAACCATGTTGGTCAATGAGTTGAATTTTCTAATAGACGAACCGAATAATTGAAAATCTTTGAATCGACTGTTGATGTTCTGGGTTCCCTGAGGCCTTGAAACTTCTTGGGTAGACTTCATTGGGTCATATGAGCCTCATGGACCACAATCTCGTAATTGTAAAACCTTTTGGACCAAAAGTCAAACAATAGTTGACTTTTCCAACAAGAAACCCTAATTAGGGTTCTTGCACTACACTGCTTCCATTCTCTTGGTGACAACCTCAAGTTGGACTCATTCTTGATCACATGTGAAATCCTTGATGATATAGATACTTGTTATGTGGAGGATCAATCCAAAACCTTGACTGATCAATTCCTAGAAACTCTGATTTCTTGACTGTATGACACCCTAATTCATCTGCATCTTGACAAAGACAAACTTGAAATATGTTAAGGTTAGATAATTAATGTTGATGCTCCTAGAATGATGATGAGATCTTGGGTTCAAAATTTGGGGTATGACAAAAATCAACACAATATATATCATACATTTCATATATCATAATATTCTCACATACCACATATAACTCTTTCATTTCTTCCACGTCTTTTTATCTGTGGTTTTCCCGTTCTTTTTTTGCTAACAAATCTTCAAATTATTTCTTTTATCTTTCCAACTTCTTCTCAAATTCTTCAATCATTTCTTTTTGCGCATGTCTGGTGCTTTTTCTGGATGTACCATAGAATAATCTCAGATCGATGTCATCTCCAACACCACGGACATGCCCACCATGACCCTTTGTTTCAATTGTTTCTATTAATATATTATGTCGTGATTTTGGAACAAAAGAACCACCACGTGACAACACAACCAACAAATCCTACAGAACATGATAAAATATATATTATTAATTACCAAAGCGATTTAAATAACACATAACATAGGCACAACAAATCCTACTTACAATTTTCTCAATGACTACTCTTAAGGCATCTGAAGTGCACTCTCTATTTGGTCTTTGTCGAGTCCTCTTCCGCTTATCATGTCGTGATGGCGGAGATGGGTTACGATCATGACTCATAGAGTCCTCATCTCCCATATGTTGTCCTTTTTCATTAATCATTATTTTTTAAAGTTTCCTGTAGTCCCCACGAGACAATTTATAAGGGTATTTATTTTTTGTCTTGTTCAGCTTTTCTGCTTCACTTTTAACCTATTATAAACATACAAAATTATTATCTTGCATGGTTGTATCTATACAGCATAAACATAAAATTGTCAGAAAATAAAATTAGTACTAACTAGGAAATCCTCAAAACTACGAGATTTCATAAACTTTTTCCAAACCTTCTTGTCAAGAAAATTACATCTCACACACAAATGCTTAAGGTTAGGCTTAGGATCTCTAATGTAGTCACACATGAGTCGTGACTTAAATCCCCTTTAACATGTACCAACATAAGTGATCCATTTATATTCAACTTATCATCATCATAAAACTCAAACGTCAACTACAATTACATCAATAAGTATGTATTAGTAATTATAGAAAGTAATATCGAATCGATGAAAATTAAAATTAATATCAATACGTCTATCTATATGCTCTCTTCCACACTCTTTTGTGCTTCTTTCCAATCATCTATCAATATATTGACTATGCTACGTAACACGACGCAAGTGTGCGACTATGCGAAGTAATAAAAGATTATGGAACCATAAAGACCAATGGTTTAAGTATCCAATTTTGTTATACCAATGTATATTTAAAGGAATCAATAATTTAGGTTTTAGTAAAAACATCTTAAATAAAAAGCACTTATAGTAAAACTGCTTAATTGAAAATCACTTAAATCACAATGGAGACAAAAAAGACTTAGGGTTATAGTTCTCACTCTGACACATTTGTATGATCTGAGACACTTCTATTACGAGAGTTTCAACACAATTTATAGAAAATAGATAAATGTTGACAACATTTGATTTTGCCAGCGTATTGCCCTATTGATGACGAATAATTTGTTGGCTTCGCTCGACCGTATTATTTGTCAAAGATTCGTTACTTTTCCTCAGCTATAAAAATTAAAACTTTCTTAAATTCATTCAAGCACTTTCTATATATTGGACTTGTGTGTTTAAAAAGGTGTGCTCTGGTACAAATAAATGATAAATATTTGAGAACATTTTACTTTTGTACAAGGGTTGAAATGCATAAACTCGAGTATTAAAATAAATTTCGCTAGAGAACTCTTGTAATCAACTTGGTGACCGATCATTCAAACGGTCATAAAATAATCCATGTAACCCTTAATCCCTAATGCAATCCTCACTCATGTCTTACATTAAAATAATATTTCTCCTACAAAGTAAAGTAAAAAGGCTTCAAACAAATGCAAATTTGTCTTTCTCATTTGCTATGTTCACACAAACACACCATGTCTTACCAGTAGTGTCCCTTATTTTCTTCAACCAAAAAATCTAGTAATGTCTCTTCAAGACTTCAACTGTGCATCTGCATATTCTCTCTATACTTTTTCTTTTCTAGTTTCTTTATAATTTCCCATTCTCTTTCTCTCTCTTGCTTCCATCATTCTATTGGCCTTTCCTTTCACTTTTTCAACATTCATACATTGACTCCAAACACACTTTGCCCTTCCCTCCAAAGTTTCTGTCTTTTCATCCACCTTTCTCTCAACCCTTTTTTCACTCTTCATAGCCATTAATATTTAAGAACCAAAACCAGTGTTACACAAAGTGTACCTTAAATCATGGAACCTCCAAAGCTAGAAGAAATAAGCCACCCACCAATGGACCAACTTCATGGCTTAGAGTACTGTATAGATTCAAACCCTTCCTGGTGTTAGTAACCCTTCTCTCATCTGCATTTTCAGTTTTTTCATTTTTCATCAATAAAAGTTCAAGTTTTTACATTATATATATATATATATATATATATATATATATATATATATATATATATATATATATATATATATATATATATATATATATATATATATATATATATATATATATATATATATATATATTTATGAGTTATTATTACCATTTTGGTTTCACTGAATGTTTTGAACTTTATTAACAGTGGAGTCAATAGTTCTGGGTTTCCAGCATTATGTTTTATCTTTAGGAACTGCAGTGATGATTCCTTCATTTCTTGTGCCTTTGATGGGTGGAACTGATGTAAGTCATTTCAAGCTTCAACTCCTATTAGTTTTACTCCAATAGTTCAATTTCTGTATTGTTATGCTATGTAGCAACCAAGCCCTTTGAGAAAAGACTTATCTGTGTCAGTATCGGACACCAACACAACACTAACACAGACACTTGTGATTATGTTTAATTTATCATTTTTCAAATTATTACTGGTGTCAACGTGTCAGTGTTAGTGTCTGTGTTCGTGCTTCATATGTGTTCATGCTTCATAGCTGTTATGATAAAGATTTCTATGATATTTATTGGTGATATGTTGTTTCATTGAATGATTCAGGGGGATAAAGTTAGGGTGATACAAATTCTGCTTTTTGTACAAGGGATTAATACACTTTTGCAGACACTATTTGGAACCCGGTTACCAACAGTGATGGGAGGGTCTTATGCATTCATGGTCCCAATTATTTCCATTATTCATGATTCCTCATTGGCCTCAATAGAAGACCCACATTTGGTTAGTACATTTCTCTAATCTATGCTAAGTACATTTCAATTTTAAGCTCATGACTATAGTATATAGTATTGTGAACAACTAATGTTAGAACAACAAACCTGACCCGGGATTGAACTAATGCTCTTCCATTTTTATACAGAGATTTGTTAACACTATGAGAGCAGTTCAAGGTGCAATGATAGTAGCATCAAGCATACAAATTATTTTGGGCTTTAGTCAATTATGGGCCATTTGTTCTAGGTAAGATATTCCATGTGAGAAAATGCATAGATTTATATCAACATCAAATGATTGATGTCTTCTTCCTATTATTTTTTCAGGTTTTTCAGTCCACTTGGAATGGTTCCAGTAATTGCATTATCTGGTTTCGGGTTATTTAATCGAGGGTTCCCTGTGGTACAACAATAGTTCACTTGTCAATAGTACATATTCTTAAATTCATATCTCCATATGCTAACTTTTTTAGCATTAATTCTCTTTTTTTTAGGTTGGACATTGCGTTGAAATTGGAATTCCAATGTTAATTCTGTTTGTAGTCTTCTCTCAGGTAGGCACCATTGGCCGAAGTGCGTTAACAAAGATCGATCGTGTTTAATGTCTTTTATTTTCGTTTCTCTTTAATCTTTTATACTATTGATGTTCTAACATGGTGTATGCAGTACTTGAAAAACTTTAATGCAAGACAACTACCAATATTTGAGAGATTTGCTTTGCTTATATCAACCACAATGATATGGGCCTATGCACATCTCTTAACAGAAAGCGGAGCTTACAAACACAGGCCAGACTTAACACAACATAATTGTAGAACTGACAGAGCCAACCTCATTTCCTCTGCTCCATGGTTAGTACTAAAAGAATATCTTAAATAGTTGAATATTTTTCTTCCTGTTTTTCAACTTAGATAACTTATTTATATCAAATCATCAATGAGCTTGTTAACTATTGTTGTAAACGTCTCTTGAATATGATGTTTGCAGGATAAAGATTCCATACCCTATTGAGTGGGGGGCTCCTACATTTGATATCGGTCATGCTTTTGGCATGATGGCTGCTGTTTTAGTTTCATTAATTGAGGTACAACGAGTCTGTTTGAATTGACTTATTCGAGCTTATCTACTAGTATAAAGATATGAGACTGTTTGAAAGAACTTGTGAAAACAATTTATGACATGTCTATTAGTTGTTTTCGGCTTATTTTCAATATCTCTCGTAACTGTGTATGAAAACAGTTAGACTTCATTTTATCATTTGTAATAGAAATGATCAAGAATTTATATGATAAATGTTTATGCTATTAAGTACTTAATTAAGTTGTTTATCTAACAGTCAACTGGAGCATATAAAGCTGCATCGCGGCTAGCAAGTGCAACACCGCCTCCTCCTCATGTTCTGAGCCGCGGTGTTGGCTGGCAGGGAATCGGAATCTTGCTGAATGGACTATTTGGAACACTAACTGGTCCAACAGTTTCTGTGTAAGTGCTACTAGTTTTCGTTATTGTTCATAGTTTTCACTTTAAATGGGATAAAAATTGATTCTTATAGGATCATGACAGAGAGAATGTAGGGCTTCTAGGAAGCACTCGTGTTGGAAGTCGAAGGGTCGTTCAAATTTCAGCTGGATTTATGATATTCTTCTCAATGTTGGGTGAGTGATAATCTATACTATATATCAATCCAATCAAAATTGATGTACTTTCAAGATCATTCTTATATAATTTTCACTTACAAAGAACAATCCATGCCTTCAGGAAAATTCGGTGCTTTTTTTGCATCAATACCCTTCCCGATTTTCGCTGCTATGTACTGTGTCCTGTTTGGTCTTGTTGGTGAGTATCAATCAAAACTTCACCTTTGATTTTGTTTAGCATCTCTTTGCATCCTCTCTTTTTTATAACTAATATTTTTTCATTTTTTTCCAGCATCTGTAGGGCTATCATTTTTGCAGTTTACTAACATGAACTCAATGAGGAACCTCTTTATTACAGGCGTTGCCCTTTTCTTGGGTTTTTCCATTCCTGAGTATTTCAGAGAATTCACTTCCAAGGCCCTTCATGGTCCTACTCACACAAGTGCTAGATGGGTGAGTCTCTTGTTTTATTATGTTTCAATTATTTGAAAACTTAGGAATAATTTACGTTCCGTTTGTTTTTCATTCAGTTCAATGATTTTCTCAACACGATCTTCTTCTCGTCCTCAACTGTTGCGTTTATCGTTGCTGTGTTCTTGGACAACACTCTTGATTACAAACATAGCTCCAAAGATCGGGGTATGCCATGGTGGACCAAGTTTAGAACATTTAACGGAGATACCAGGAATGAAGAGTTCTACACCCTCCCTTTCAACCTCCACCGGTTTTTCCCACCGTCTTAACGAAGAAAGATGTTTCATAAAAAGAAAATTTTCATTTGCAGATACCGATTATATTTTCTTGTTAAGAGAGTGAAGAAGAGTGATAACTTTGTATCATATTGGTGAATTATTAATGAAGAAAATGATTATAGTTTAACATAGATTTTTTCATGGCCTATCTAGCTAATGGTGTTTGCACATGCATTCTGGACACCTAGGATATCGATATATGCTTCGTCCGTAACTCCTTATGGCAACATTCTGGCCTTCTAGAATCATCTTCTTTACTCTGAATTCAAAACTATTCCATCCTATGGTGCCATTCTCTGTAAAAATTGCAGCTAATCTTGTCTTATTCGGCCGCAAAGTAGGAGCGTGACCGCTGCCATAGTAGGTTCTGAATCCAGATACCAATGATGAAAATTGGCTTCCAGAGTCTGTCATGGCGAATACATCAGCACTTGCACATGCGATAAAATCCAAAGCAGCCAGCTGCATTCACATCGATTCCACATTGTTACGAAATAATGAAACACTTTTAAGATTTGAAATAAGAACTGAATTATGCTCGAAAGTTGTTACCTGAGAAGAAAAATTCTTGAAAGGTGCTAGTTCAGTGTCTGTGAGAAGGTTTTCCTTCGTGACTATGTTGGGATAGAGTCGATTGAAGGCCTCCATTCTTGAGTTTTCCCCGTAGATATGAGAACCGGCCAAGTAAATGTAAGTTTCTTGTTTGAAACCAAGACCTGCTAGAACAAGTGCCGCTTCTTCTGGTGTCAATGGACATCTTCCCTTTTTTCTCAAATTCGTCGGAGAAATAGAGCTATAAGCAATCAATATGACATACCACAAAAATATCAACAAAGGAAAAAGTTAGCAAAGATTTTATCAGTAAAATAATTTGATGAAAAGTGGAAGGGAGAAACATGCATACGATGAATTCTTCAAGCGCTCGAGAAAGAGAGGGAAGTGTCTTTCTCTGTAAGCTTGAAGTTCGTTTCTCTCATTTTCGCCTCCTCCAAACTCGCACAACGAATAGGCCACCATATCTATTTCAAATCGTAAGTGCAAAGCAAGATATTTCGTTGAGCCTTTTGCAGCTTCATGACCTTCCTTGTTGCGGATGAACTTCCCCACCAAATGTGTGTCTAACATGCTTTGTGAAGCTCTATATTTTCTAATCCTTTTGATCAATATAGACCCAACTTGTTGAATTTTTGGGACAAATTTCAAAGCATGGAAATTGCATTTGCATCTTAACCTCTGCAACCATTTCAAAACATACATAAAAAAATGCATCCTAATAGAGTAAAAATTAGTGTTTATGCGCTAGTGTCAGTGTTATGTCCAACGTGTCTATCTGCTCAAGTGCTTCATAAATATTTGACTACGACAAATGCGATAAATCTGTGACCTGAATATCCGAAGGCAAAGGATCAAAACCAAGTCGATTTGCATATCCAAGGAAGTGAACAACTCTATTTTTCAAAAGAAGAGGAAGCACAGTTTCAATGTAGTCACCAACTGTGGCCTCCTTTGCGAGATCCGCATCTGTAATCTAAAACGCAACATGTTTAATTATCGATATTATTATAACAAGTGGAATCTGTGTTCTCAAATACATAGGATACAAGATTATAAACCTGGCTTCCAATTGCTTCTACATCCATGGACTTTATATCAGGTGGAAGTTCCTTCACAATTTTGATATCATCCTTAAGGATATCTATGAAATGCTCCTCCTGGTATATGTCACCAAATTGGCTGCAATTTTTTTCAATGAAGCACATCACATTCACATTAATATTCAGATTAATTTCTCGGTTTTCAGCGTAGTACTAACTACTAAGCATATTATACCTCGGATCGTTCCATACATTACTGTAAAGAAATTTCGGAATAACAAGAGTTGCATTCAGGACAGACGCCACAGCCACGGCATTGCAAATCTGTATTCACTACAATAGTCTCATCAATTCCATTATCGGAGATTTCATAAAGAATGGAAATAAGGGCTAACTTGAATTATTATAGTAAAGTTGAAAGTTTATATCTTAATATGAGAAACGACGAAAACGAATTTCCAATGCTTACAGCAACTCGTTGTTGATTAAGACCGCCATTTGCACTGATTAAAATGTAGCCATTACTTTTCACAGACTTGGTTTGATCTTTGCTTTGTGCACAAGGTTTCCATAAAGATGCTTGTTTATAAGGATCCATCCATAAATTAGACGACTCTTGCTTGAACTCCCTCTGTAGTAACAAAAGCTAAGTCATAAGCAGGACCGTATTTGAAAGCGTGCAAGACGGGCTACTTCACATGGCTCAAAATTTGACACGTTTAAACCGTGCCTAAAAAAGACCTCATCAAATATACGTCACAGTTAAAGCATGACAAAATAGAGTCTTTGCTTGATTTGTTACACTTAAATCGTGATTAACCTACACAGAGCCTCTTAAAACTTAAGATGACTTTGGTCATAAGATTAGACAGAGAATAACCTCACATATAGTATAGTATCTAAAGATGATAAAAAAAGCATGCATGAATCTTAAAACTGGTTAATACCTCTGCAAGAGCACTCGAAGCCATGTTTAGAAGACGGTCATACATATGTATAGGCGATTGTTTCTTGCGGAGGAAGGAAACATGCACCTGAAGCTGACTTGAATTATTTGAACCTCTACTTGGTTGAAGATTTTCAAACTCGAAAAACGAGATGAAAATAGAATCAAGAAGGAAAAGACAAGCCAACAATCCAAACATGAGAACTAGTGTTCTGATATTCTTTTTTCCAACATAAAAGCCTCTAATAGTATTGTATTTTGGTGAACCATTTTTCAGTCCATGTAGCAACAAAGTTTTCGAATGCCAACGACAATCAACGCTCGTTATCTTGTAATCTTTTGTTCCTAACATTACTCTAGTAGCACCGTTAAACTCAGAATTTTTTCCACTTCTGGGAGACCCTTGTTTTCTCATCCTGATTCGAACTAAAATATTCAAAAGAAACAGAAACAAAAAACATAGAAGGTGTGATGAATGGGAAAAAAGAGTTGAAGTTTCTTGTATGAATTCAAAGTGAAGCGAAGAAGTAGGTGACAGGGATATGTAACTAAGAAAGTTGATGAGTAAAATCTAAGCAAAAGATGAAGACTCAACCATTGTCTTATGAAACAAGAATCATCTGATATTGAAAAACAACAACTTCTCACCAAACAGAACAATTTACTGTGTTTCTATTTTTGTATACTGTTATGTGTTAGTTGTTTAATTTGGCGGTCTTTACATATTCTCTGTATTAATAATTTTTGATATATCTTAAATATTTTCTATCATCACTAAGATTCGAATTTATGGTACTCATTATTGTTTATATAAGTTTCTAGTGATTATTATCCATTGGTCAGGATAAAAAAAAGTATTCGTATGGTATTCTAAACAAAACAAAGACTTTGTTTTACGTCAATACATGTGATAAGATGGAGTAGTTTGGTGCTTGATTGAAGTTTCTACTATTTCCTCTTTGACATCAAAATTGTATATTTAATTTTTCATATTGGAACTGTTCGTCTCAGTGAAGTTTGAAGTTTGAAGTTTGAATTCCTACCAGGTCATAAGAAATTTGTGTAAAGGCTAAAAAAAATATTAGAATGAGAGAAAAACTATCTTAATATAAGAAGTGACAAAAATTATTAAGAGCCAAATTCAATTAAAAGAAGACTCTAAAAGCACATTAAAAATGAGAGGAAAAACACAATAATAAATTCTTAAAGCGGGTTGATGAATTAGTAAATATTTAAATTAGAGATATTTTCTTTTTCGATCTTAGTTAACTATCAATGCGAGTAAAGTTTAACTTGATCAATATTATGGTTAATTTAATTTAACTTAAGAATTTATCCAAAAATATATTATATAATTAGGCGGGTATATTAGTTTTAATTAAACAGTCTATTTTAAATATGTACTCCGGTGGGTATATATATAATTGGGTAGATATATCATACTATTTTTAGACAGTTTGTTTTAAATTTAATTTGAATGTTTAGTGTGTTTATAAATAGTAAATACTGTTTCTCATTGTAATTGAAATATACACAACAATTAATAAAGTCTTTAACATTAATTATTCTCTTAATTTATTATCATTTGTCATACCGGTTACCAACAAATTGGTATCAAGAACACCAGTCTGATCTTCAACCTCCAACCATGGTGAATGGAAACACAACCTCCAATCAATTCACATCCAATCTACTAGTAGAGAAAACTATGATAGATGGTGTGCACAAATCGAAGTTATATTCAGATTTTGATATGTGCTTAAATCGTGAATGATGGTTTCTTGACATTAGAGACAAATGCTATTGAGAGACATAGAGCTGCTCATCATGAAATAAGCAAGAAAGACAATAAAGACTTTTTCGTCATCCATTAATGTGTGGATTCAAATATATTTAAGAAGATTATCGAGCAAGAAACAACCAAGGAGACTTGGGATACTCTCAAGAAGTTATATGATGGAGATGAAAAGTTAAAGAAAGTGAAGTTGTAATCTTTAAGGAAGCAATGTGAAAACTTGTAGATGAAAGATGATGAAACCATTTTCGAGTTCTTCTCAAAGATTATGACTTTGACAAATCAAATGAAGTCATGTGAAGAAAAGACCTCGGAATTGCAGATGGTGGAGAAGATGTTTAAGGCTCTTCCAATCAAGTTTGATCATATTGTGGTGGCAATTGAAGAATCTAAAATCTTTTCAGAGATGAAGCTTGAATAATTGCAAGCATCTCTTGAGGCACATGAGATGAGCTTGAAGCAAAGGATTCATAAAAGGTATCCGAACAGACATTGTAAGAAAATTTCTTCAAAAAATTGATGTAAGTAGAGTTGCACCTAGGAGGGGGGGGGGGGGTGAATTAGGTACTCAAAATCTTTTTCCGGACTTGATGTAGATTTCTTGTTTTACTTTCCTAAAAATTACTAAGTAATGAATGCAGTAAAAGCGAAAAGTAAAGAGACACGACGATATATTCTGGTTTCCCTCACAGTCCAAGAGTACTCCAGTCCCCTTTCAACACGAAAGAGATTTTCAATATTGTTAGATCCTAAGACAAGACTTCTACCTAGTCTTTCTATACAGACTCTAACCAATCAAACACCAAGAACAATCCTCTTGGATTTTTCACTAAGTCCGATGAGAACAATCCTCTCAAAATGGACCTCTTGCTTCCAACAATCCTGGACAGCAAGGTACTGTAACACCCTTTTAAACCCCACAAAATATATATATAAATAATCAGAGTAAATCATCATGCATTCACAAAGGGTGTCACACATAATTCTCAAGACATCAAAAACACCTGTCATGCTCATTAACACTTTAATAAATAATCATGCTTTTAAAGGTTTCACTTCGCATGTAGTAGCGACTTCCATTTATATCATAATTATCTTAACAGAAACATTTGTGTTCATCACATAATTCAACATTGCTTAGGCACTAAGGCCAATATCATAATATTTCGATGCATATAAAAATATATTGTAGAGTACATAATGTATCTCTAAAACATAAACCAAGCGATCCCAGTGTTACATGACCAGAGCACGACTCGACCCGACATAATTAAAATACTAAACAGCTACACCAACAGTGATCTTGCAACTACGAGCAGAACTACTCCTTGATACCTGCACGATGTCGTATAGGACATCATTCCAGCAGAAGGGTGAGAATTTACATCAATATTGAAATCATAAGATAATGAAATAATGTAAAGCATGTCAGGACAAACACCAATATTCTCACACTTCAATTTCCATCAGTCCATATTATTCAACAATCCACACATTCACAACTCTCAATTCAACAAGTCATACACATACGCATACCTTCATGCAACAATCATATATTCACATCTCTCAATTACACAAGTCATACACATACGCATACTTTCATACAACAATCATATATTCACATCTCTCAATTACACAAGTCATACACATACGCATACTTCCATACAACAATCATATATTCACATCTCTCAATTACACAAGTCATACACATACGCATACTTTCATACAATAATCATATATGCCATGTGACTCAATGCAACTCAATGCAACTCATGCCATGTGGTACCAATACTTGTTATTATTTTTCGGTTTTTACATTTAAACCGGGTCCGTCCCCTAGACCAATAACAAACAAAAGCCCGTCCCCTAGGCTTTCAACCCCACTCTAAGTTTGGGACAAGTCACTAGCCTCCACGAAATTAGCAAGCATTGTCTCTTGACAACAAATGATGCGTATGCAATCAATAACCATATGCACTTAAGACCGTTCTCGCATCTTAATCCCATGCATACTCAAATAATTCATCACAACAAGAATTATAACATGATTGCACACATAACACATTTCATAATAATCAAAGTATCCATACTTTCAACATCATCATTACACTCATCAAGTAATGCACAGGAATCAATTAGATTCAATCGTAATTCACAACACAATTCAACGATTACACATAGGACAATCAATCTATCACAAATAATTGAATTCAATGTTCAATACACAATCAACTTGTTAAACAACAATTGATATCTCAATAACCAACCGAATGTTTATAATCAATCAATACTCAAGTAAATAATCAATAAATCATCTCAGTTGGTCCATGTTTTGTTAAGATTTAATTAACCAAAGATTCTATGTAATCAACCCTCTAAAACATGACTTTTCTAAGTTTCAGCTTGTGCAATCGATTGGAGTCATGGTGCAATCGATTGCACCTATGAAAACTTCATCATTTTAGCCACTGTTAGGCTGTGCAATCGATTGACATATTAGTGCAATCGATTGCTCAGCTAAAAATCCAGCTTCCAGCAGCTTTGCTCAGTGTGCAATCGATTGTAGCCTTAATGCAATCGATTGCTCACTATGCGTTTTCGAAAAATTATGCAGAAAATTATATTTTCACCAACCATTCCCCTCTTTGCTACCACAATCAATCCCCACATGTTAGGGTATTCACAAAACTCAAAAATCCACTAAATCATGATAAGCCTATGAGTTTTCCCTACACCATTTCTACTCATTAACCATTAATTTACAATTTCAAATTTAGGGTTTCTCCTACACAACTTTTACCCATTAGTCATCATCCCACAATCCCAATAATGAGAGAATACCCACCCTTACCTTAGGTTTCTTATGAAGAAGAATCTTTGATTCCATGGATGCTTGCATTCTGATCTCTCCTTTCCCTTCTTCTTTTCCTCTTGCCTCTTTCTCTTCTCCTCTTCTTCTCTATCTATTCTCTTTTTCTTCTTTTCCCTTTTTCTTTTCCTCTTCTCTTACTAACTTCTCTTACTCTAAAACCCTAACAACTTAATCATTTCTATTGGGCTTTACCCAACTCACTCTCACTTTCTATTCACACACCCAAATTAGGCCCAACTAATTAATCTAGCAATTATACACTATTCTAACAAATAGAATAAATCAATTAATTTAATCAATTCCATAAATCACACATTTAGATTAAATTAATTAAATCAATTAACTCATTTAAATAAATTAAATAAATCAAATAATTCATTTAAATCAAATAAATCACATAAGCCAATTAATTAGTACAAATAATTAATTATTAAAAATTAGGCTGTTACAGGTACAACCTTACAAACTTATTTCCAACAATCCTGGAAAAATAAGATGTAATCAAAGAGCAAATAAATTCTGATTTGAGTAAGTTGCAGTAGTCTTCAAATATCAATCTTGCAACTGATCTTATTCTTGAGATATCAACTCTTATATATCAAATACAAGTGTTCAAAGATAGAGCAATGAAACTATGATGAAATAATGAAATTTGAAGTATAACAATTTCACTCTTGAAAATGAAGAATTTTTTACACTTGTGAAAATTTGAATGAGAGATGAAAATAAAATTTGAATTTTTCAAGAA